GTCCAGCTCTGTGCTGATGCGCCTGCGAAGGGAGAGTCCCAAGTGTGTAGGCCCCGCTGCCTAGGCAGACACCTCTCTTACCTCCTGGAGGAGCGCAGGTTCTAGAATTCTGTCAGGTGCATTTTTGAGGGAGAAGATCCAAGATGAAATGTCACGTGTTGTGCTTCCAGACCTGGAATCACTTTTCCGACAACGAGGCGGAGCGCGTTAAGATGATGGAAGAAGTGGAGAAACTCTGCGATCGGCTGGAACTAGCAAGGTGGGTGGATATCCTCAGGACTCCTGCTGAAATCTTCTGGGCTCAGCAGTAGTTTCATCCTTTGTCTTGTTGTTCTGTCTCATTTCCTCCGTAGCTTACAGTGCCTGAATGAAACGCTCACGTCCTGTACAAAGGAAGAGGGGAAAGCAGCTCTCGAGAAGCAGGTACAGGGAGTCTCTCTGCCTCTCCTAGCAGTCAGTCGGCTCTCAGCCTCCCGGCGTGATGTTGCACTGCCTGATACAGTTGCTAAGGGCAAAGAGGGAGCATTCTGTTTAGTGTTAAGTGGGACCAGTGGTGTATGTTTATCACGCTTAGCATTTGTGTTAGCACATTAAGTATTCCTTCAGTATTTGCACAGGCCTTCAGTTGGACAGATTTGAGTATCTGCTCCCTAGAACAAAGCTCTTGGAGAAGTGCCTGATGCATTGAGCCTCACTGTTCAGCAGGAGTTACGCTGAACGGCCTCCTGGGAAAGATGCAGGGCTCCAGCAAGTGAATGCCGTTGGCTAGATGGAATGTTCTGGGTCTGCATGTGAGTGGTCGGGTTGGCTCAGTGAAAGATTTAAACTGGCCTTGGAAGACCGTGTTTAAACTCAAGGTTGGGAAACAGCAAGAACCATAAAACTATGGAGCAGGGGTTGGTGGTGTTGCACAGCAGGTTGAACCGTGGCCTACGAGGCCGACATCCTGTGTGAGTGCTGGTTTCAGTCCCAGCTGCTCTACTTCCAACCCAGCTCCCTGCTGACGGACAGCAGCAGCAGATGGTCCGACTGCTTGGTCCCTTTCCCGTGGAGACCCCAACAGAGTTCTAGGCCCCTGGGTTTGGTTTGGTCCAGACCTAGTCATTGTGGCCATCTGAGTGGTAAACCAGCAAATGGAAAAACTGTTACCACCGTAGCCATCAATTAAACAAGTCATAAAACAAACTCTAGAGGATCGGGAAACGAAGTTGATTGAGAAGAACAAAGTGAAATTGAGGGGTTGTGTAATAGTACAGTTCCATTACTGCAGCTCTGCAAGTCAGAGACTTCAACATGATACTGTTAACCTGGCATCTGTGGGCAGTACGTAGCCGAAGATGCAAAGTGATTAGTTAGAAATTGACACTGTCTGGACTGTTAAAGTCATGGTGGAATTGGGAGAACTTCACAGTTGGCGTTCCACGGCCCTGCTGACTCACCTGGGGCGTGAAGGGGAGAAAGGATTCTAAGACAGTGCCTTGATCGCAGTTGAGTGAGGCAGGAACATCAAGTGAAGGTGGTTTTTTTTTTCTTGTCATGAATTGTGAAATAGACTAGAAGCATAGGTGTAAAGGGTAGAACCTGAAGGAAAAACAGATCTTTTTGCTGTACCATTTGCTTTTTTGGAAAGAGTAAGATTACTCTTGGTCCAAGGCATATGAGCGTACATGTTTGAAATGGCCTTGTGTGTGAGTGGCCCAGGGACTACAGAGCTTCCAGGTGGGGCAGGCTACTGGTTGGTTCTGCTTCCTCAGCCTGGGCCAGCTGGAAGCCAGAGTGAAAAGCAGATGTCATCATGGGGGGGGAGTGGGGAAGGGCAGAGTCGGAGTGAAGATGACACAGCTGAGGACCACAAGCCGCAGGCTGCAAGGCCTGAGTCCCTGACTGACGTGTGGTGTTTGTGTAGATAGAAGAAATAAACGAGCAGATTAGAAAAGAGAAGGAAGAAGCTGAGGCTCGAATGCGACAGGCATCCAAGAATGCAGAGAAGTCGGCTGGCGGAGGCGGGAGTGGCAGCAGAAACTGGTCGGAGGACGACCTGCAACTGCTCATCAAGGCAGTGAACCTCTTCCCTGCCGGGACAAACTCAAGGTACTGGTGTTCAGGATGCGTCTTCTCAGTACGCACCGGTCACAGCAGGACCTTCACAGATGGGCTTTGCACCAGACCCTGTGCCGTGGAGGTGAAGCCCATGTGAGCTATACTTGCCAGTCTTGCACTCCATCAGCAGACATGCACGTGTAACTACCGAGGTGGGAGCGGTGGACGGCGCGTTGGCCAAGTCCACCGAACCTGCTGCTGGGTTTCGTGAACCGTAGCTCCCTTTCCTGTTCTCGCTCTCTGCTGCATGCCAGCTGGAGCTCCTCAAAAAGCTTGGGGGAGATGGCCTCTCATTCTGCTCATGGCGAGTGTAAGGTGCTTTTCAGAATCTGTTTTCTCAGGTGCCATGGCACTTTGAAAGGTTTGTGAAAAATGGAATTAATGGATTCATTTTGGTAAACCAATTTTGAAATTCCAGCATAAAAGGGTGGAATGGGTTTCCAAACTACTGCACCCAAGTGAACTTATCTGTGTTTTAACATTCCCAGTGTGCGTGTATGGCTTTATTTCTGCTAATTTGTACAAAACTGTGTCAGGTTTTACACAAACTAATACCAAGTTATATAAAGTGATGTATAGTTGACTTATATGCATGAAAAGCAAAAATTGTCCAGAATAGTAATTTATAGTAGCAAAATTAGACCACTAATTTAGAGCACAGACATTGTTACCTGTCCGTGGTAAAAATGTACTGACTTTTGATTTTCCTTCCTACTATGAAATGACTGTCGGTCGCTCTAGATGGGAAGTCATCGCCAACTACATGAACATACATTCTTCTTCGGGAGTCAAAAGAACTGCCAAAGATGTTATTAGCAAAGCAAAGAGTCTCCAAAAACTTGGTGGGTTGGTTTTGACCTTATCTCCAAGACATTTTTAAAGTAACGCAACTAAGGAAAGACCGCATGAGATGGTCTGTTACATATTAATTTTTTTTTTTCATTTCTTAGATCCTCATCAAAAAGATGACATAAACAAAAAGGCTTTTGATAAATTTAAGAAAGAACACGGAGTGGTGCCTCAAGCAGACAACGCCACCCCTTCGGAGCGGTTTGAAGGTAACTGACCTGTGTTTCTCTGGCGGAGAGGCGGGCTGAGCCGTGTGTGCTGACAAGGCCTGTCCAGGCGAGCAGACTCACCCAGCTAGCCATCACTCCTGCAGGTCAGGTGCCACTGGACAAAGGGCTGTGCTTATCTTGTTCCCTGTAGGTCCCTGTTAGAGGGTCTTATTAGAAGGGTTCGCTTCCTTGAACCACTTTCAGGCATGGCTTGCAGATCGGTTCCCATGGTGTTCTTGGACTTGAGGCTGACTACATGATAAGCTGTCTGTTTTGTGACAGGCCCAGCTTTAGCACTCCTGGTCTAGATTATTATAAGCAAATTTCAGCTAGCAGACAGGTGCCCACCGTGGAGGGCCAAAGTCATTCTGCTGTAGCAGAGCGTTGGAGCAAGGCGTTAGCTTGGCTGTTTTTATGTTGAGGGGTTTTAGACCGTAAGAGGGCTCCCTGGAATGCAGGGCTCCCAGTCTGCCTTCAAATAGACACGAGTTCTGTGGCTTGTTTTGAAGGAGGTCCTCCTTTTTTTCTTTTTAGGAAAGTAATTTTAATATACATTATCGCTACTGCATATTTATTGCATGGTCTGAAGTAATTCATCTGTTAGTATATTCAAATCAGCCTTTCACTGCTTAACATGTTAACCTACAGAAGTAGTGATAAATGCTGCATCCTTAAGGAGCCAAGTGTCTTTGCTTCTGAAACTTGCATTATGTTTTGTTAGATACAAACGTTTGGCTGAAACACCACCTGCAGGAACTGCTACCCAAGTTCAGCAGTGACCCCACACAGTGGGTTAAACACTGCACCTGGCCTAGCGCTGCAAAGCCTCCTGCCAGTGGTAAACAAGGATGGCTCCCAGTGAGCCATCAGCATAGACTTTGCTCTGTGAGGCAGCTCTGTTCCCCAGCCTGTAGGGAACCAACTTCGCAGAAATCTTTATAAGTTATTAGTCCAATGGAGCTGTGCCTTTAAATGTCATTAGGGCATGAAAAAAGGTCAGGTAAGAACAGAATGGATTGTACTAGAACAGCAACAAAAAAGCCTCTGAAATACTTGGGGGATGTCTCCTATTTCAAGTTTCTTTTCCTCTCTCTCCCAGTAACACAGAGGTTTCCTAGAATGTTCTGTGGGTATCAGATGTCCCTTATGGAAATGGGTACTTTATCACCAAGATCCACCTGTGCACAAAACGGCTCCTCAGAGAAGCGTGCCGAGAGCCAGGACAAAGCTTCCAAGTACAAACTCTTCCTCCACAGGTCCATGCACAGGCTTCACCCCTTGGACAACGGAAGAACAGAAGCTTCTGGAACAGGCTTTGAAGACCTACCCAGTAAACACGCCTGAAAGGTGGGAAAAAATAGCAGAAGCAGTCCCTGGCAGGACGAAGAAGGACTGCATGAAACGATACAAGGTTGGCGACCTGAGCGCCTAGATTCCGTTATCTTACACAGTGACTTCTCTGTAGCTGGCACTTGGATTGTCTATTAATTGGAAAATGTGTCTTTTGTTATTTCCGTGTCTTGGTAGTTATGGGGCCAGGAGCCGGAATTATTAAGAGGAATGACAAACTTTAGAAACTTTCTAAAAGCCCTAGAAGCTTATTCTAAATACGTGATTTCAGGGAATTTTGCTAACACTGGATTTATTTACCTGTTTTCAAATCGAATTCCTGATTGGAACGCCACTTTTCTTCTCCTTTTAGGAACTTGTCGAGATGGTGAAAGCAAAGAAGGCTGCTCAGGAGCAGGTGCTGAACGCAGGCAGAGCCAAGAAGTGACGGACTGACAATCTTTGTTGTGTGTGCATTTTTATAATAAAAGCAAAAATACTATACAAGTTCTCTGCAGGGTGGTAGTCTTTTGTGAGATAGTAAGTTTTATTTTTGTGGTTGGGGATAGATAAAAATATGCAGGTCTCTTTCTAAACAAGTCTTCATTTAGGAGTAGTTTAATGATGAGGCCAGCACATGTTACTACGAATCTGATTAAAATCTGGTAGTTGCTCAATGGGACCTACAGATTGAAAACAAAACAACACAATTACAACCGAGTCGGAGGAAAAGCGCTCTGGCGCCCTTTCTGCAAACAGGAACCTGACTCACCGACTGCCGCAATGGCTGGGCTCTTGTCGTAAATGTATTTGGTGCACACTGCTCGGACTGTCTCGGCACTCACAGCCTGGAAGCAGAGACACACTCTGTAACTGGAAGTCTAGAACAAGCAGTAGGACACGTGTAGATCAAAGGATCTTTCCTGAGCATTCAGTGAGCCAAGCATTACTTACATCAATTCTTGCTTCAAGCTCGGGGATAGGAATTCTTCTATTGTAACATAACATTTGCCTACCGATATCTTCACAAATTGGAGTTGAACCTGTTTAAAGAAAAAAGTGAGCAGCAGCTTGTAGATGAGCCAGAGGAAAGTAGAGCTCCACTCACTGCCCTTACCGTCCAGCCGCCCCTGTGTCCAGCCCGCCCCTCCGTCCAGCCACCCTTGTGTCCAGCCCGCCCCTCCGTCCAGCCGCCCCTGTGTCCAGCTGCCCATCTCCAGCCCACCCTCCGTCCAGCCGCCCCTGTGTCCAGCCCGCCCCTCCGTCCAGCCGCCCCTGTGTCCAGCCCGCCCCTCCGTCCAGCCCGCCCCTCCGTCCAGCCGCCCCTGTGTCCAGCCCGCCCCTCCGTCCAGCCACCCCTGTGTCCAGCCCGCCCCTCCATCCAGCCGCTCCTCCGTCCAGCTGCCCATGTCCAGCCCACCCTCCGTCCAGCCGCCCCTGTGTCCAGCCCGCCCGCCCCTACCGTCCGGCCCGCCCCTCCGTCCAGATGTCCTTACCGTCCAGCTGCAGTAGCATGTTGGTCTTCAGAAGGTTTTTGGCCCGGGACACTTCGCTCTCGGTAACGCTTGTACAGAGTCGCATCCTGAAAACATTTGCAAAACTGCTATCGCCAGGTAGTTTCATGAAAACTTTCTAAACAAAGTTTCATGAAAACTTTCTAATACAAGTTCTCATACAACATGAGTGATAATGATTTCAACTTGGTGAAAGGTTAAGCTACTAATCCCATAAAAGCTAAAGTAATAATATTTATTCTGGTATTGCCAAACTTCTCAAAAAATGTATATGTTTATACGTTTTGTGTGTGTGACTAATCAACAGTAGATGAAGGTTTGAGTTAAGAACAGACTGCCCACAATTTGAGAAATACTTGATCATCTTGAGACTCGGCCAGTTCTGGACACACACCGAGTGGCCCACAGGCCACCTGCCAAATCTTAAACCTTGGAGTGACGCATCTCGGCTGGCTGGCCTTGGCGACGGAAGCCACCGAACAGTCACGCTTCCCAGCAGTGCCGGTTCGAGTCCCTAGGTTTCTACTAAATGTGCAGTTTCCAGCCCTGACTGCTGCAGTCGCTGGAGGCGGTGGCCGTGGATGAGGGCTCGTGCCTGTCTGCGGAAGCCCTCTGTGTGTCTGTCCCTGCCACGAATCATCACCGTAGGGTACAAAGAAGCAGGGCTGAAGCACTAAGCCTGCGCGGGACTGAACTGTTCTCTCACCATTCCTTCTGAACAACACGCAGCATCTCTGCAACCGTGGCTGGTTCGCAGACCGTGTACAGGCCCCACAGCCCTGTGTCCGTGTAGGAAGTGTTGAAGGATTGGAAGCTGTGGCACAGGTTGCCGTGACACGTGAGCTGGGCCAGCTTGCTAGATAAATTCTGTAAGGGGGAAGAAGTGGTCCAGTCAAACGGGCTCTGCCTGTATCCAAACTACCTTGTCCACGTGGCAGGAAGTGACAGGCTCGGGGGCCTGAGATGGCCTGGGGCACGGCTGGTCAGGCCCTGCCTCCACGTCCGCGTCCCCTGTGCCCCCTGGCTCATGTGGCAGCTGTTACCCGGCCAATCCAGCTCCCCACTGATGAGCTGGGAGAGCAGCTGGAAGTACTCTGGCCACTGGTGCTCATGTGGGAGACCAGACGGAGCTCGGGCTCCTGGCTGTGGCCTGGCTGTGACAGCCATTCTGACATGACACCAGCGGACAGATTTCCCCTCGTGTCTCCTATCAGTCTGCCGTTCAAGTAAATAATTACACAAAATGCTCATCTGGCTCAGTGCATCCCTGCAGAAATTCATAACTACGTAACACAGCAGCCACCCTGTGGAACCTACTGCGCTTGTCCAGTTTGATGTACTCCCGAGAAACAGCAAATTAATTTTGACATCACCTCAGCACCACTATGAAGACTAGCAATGACAGCAGCAATACAGTAGTGTGAACTATGATTTTATCAACCATATTAATAACCATAATACTACAGTAACAATCGGCAACTAAGGTCAATAGTAACTAATTCTGTCCTTAACGTTTCACCTGTGATCGCACTGATTTGTGGCAAAGAAAAAAAAACAGGCAAGATCGGTTTGTATTTTCAAAGTGAAGAGTAACAGCACAAAGCTGCCATTCTGTCGCGAAATCTGAGTGGGAGATTCTGCTGAAGAATTTGTACTTGGAAAGCTCACTCCCCTCCCGCGTACAAGAGAAGGTTACTGGCAAGCTGACGTACCATTCCCCCTCCAAAAGAGCGGTCCCAGTTGCCAATCAGAGTGTTGGCCACCATGAGGCAGATGGTGTCCGGGTGTGCCCAGCCAACAGCTTCCACGGCTATGGCCAGGTGTGCCAGCGGCATCTTGTCATCCTGCACGCGGATCTAGTGAGCAAGGAACAGCCTGTGAGTCAAGACTGCCATGACGGACGCGCCGCACCGCAACAAGACTGCCAGTGCCGGAAGCTCGAGGGGACAGTGGCACAGCATGACTGGTGTGTAACTGGGCTGTGCTTTTCTCTCGAAGAATTTCATGAATTAAGGAAAACTTACTCGGACCAAAAGATCTCAAAGTAAAATATTACAGATGGCCAAGGGGTCATTTACCTGCTCAAAACAGATTGCAAAGTCCACCGGCGTGAGCTAATCTTTGCACCTGGATACTCAAGTTGGCGCTACTGGTTTTAGTGGTCATGCTATGCTTCCATGGAGCTGCCAACCTCCAACCTCGTCCCACGTGCTACCTGGAGCAGCATCCTTCAGTGGAGAACCAAGCCCCGCCTAGGCCTGAAGCTGTAGCTACCCCCCAGGATGTACTGTGGGCAGAACTTAATCAAAGAATAAAACCTCAGAGGAAAGTTCAAACTGGAACCTTTGAGAACAGGATTATTGTCACACACCTTTCTACACACAGAGGGCAGCCAGCCAAAGAAAACCACAAAAAACACCAAGTGATGGCACTGCTTTTAAAACCAAGGTTTCTTGGGGGGGAAAGAAAGACAGGTGCTTAACTAACACAGGATGGGAAGGAATGTAGGCAAACGTGTCCACTAGTCCAGATATTTTTGGAAAATTTCTAATAAATAAAAAAAAAAAAAAAAGAAGAAGAAGGCGGCACAGTGGCTCAATTGGCTAATCCTCTATCTCCAGGCATAGCAACCCTTACAGACCACCAGTTCATGTCCCAGCTGCTCCACTTCGCATCCAGCTCCCTTCCAGTATGTGGCCTGGGAAAAGTCGAGGACGGCCCAAAGCCTTGGGACACTGCACCCGTGTGGGAGATCCTGACGAAGCTTCTGGCTCCTGGCTTCAGACCTGACCACTGTGGCCACTTTGGGCCATCCTCTTCTGCTTTCTCAGGCCACAAACAGAGCTGGATGGGAAGTGGAACAGCTAGACACGAAGTGGCGACCGCAGGAGATTCCAGCAGACACAAGGTGAGGATTTAGCCACTATGCTATCGCACCATGCCCAGCACATTATCTTTTTAAAGGCAAGGGAAGTGCTGGGTGCAAGGCTTGCCCTACCTCACTTCCTGTGAATTTGCAGGGAGGCAGGGCTGGTACATCTCCCATGTGTGTACACAGCGAGTCACCAAAATGGAACTTGGCCAACTCCAGCAGCTCATCGTGGGAGACACCTAAATAGAAGGGAAATATCAGACGCGGTAGCGACAGGACAGTCTGTGAGAACACTGTTAATAACCCGTTCTAGTCCACTGAGTGGCGCGACAGACGCACGGACTGCTCACTAGAGGCCGTGTAGGAGGAAGCCCTCACCGCACGCTCACTGTTAGTAAGGGCCAGGGTTGCAGCTGGCCGGAGCTGCAGGGTACTGTCCCACGGCAGCTCAGGTCACCCACAGCCCCCGTCGGTGCCTGGGCCTCAGCTCCATGTCCAGCTCTGCTGCAGAGCCAATGCGCAGCTGGAGAAGGCAGCAGGTGCAGGCCCGAGTACTCGGCTCCCTAGCAGCCATGGGGGAGACCGAGATGGGAAGGCCCAGCTCCTGGCTTTGGTCTGGCCGTTACCTGGCTGCTGTGGGAACATGGAGAACATTTTGAAGACAGCAATGTGTTCCCAGCTGGAAAGTAGCCGTATAAGGGCCTGGCGCAATAGCCTAGTGGCTAAATCCTTGCTTTGCATCCACTGGGATCCTATGTGGGCATTGGTTAGTAAGTATCCCAGCTACTCTGCTTCCCTTCCAGTATGTGGCCTGGAAAAGCAGTCGAGGACGGCCCAAAGCCTTGGGACCCTGCACCCGTGTGGGAGACCCAGAGGATGCTCCTGGTTTCAGATCGGCTCAGCTCCGGCCACTGGGCCATTTGGGCAGCGAGCCTGCATGTGGAGGTCCTTTCTCTGGGTCTCTCTTTTTCTGCCTTTTGAGTAAACGTAAATCTTTACAGTAAGCTCCACTGCAGTTATATACTCATTTGGTGACTAGTTCATTAACTTTTTCTGTAAATGAAGGCCACTAAAAAGGAGCAAAGTCTTTGTCCAGTGCCCCACATTCCCTCTAGAGAAATGCAATCTGTTCTATAAGAGTGTCTTAGGACACCTGCCCAACCAGGATCAAACTGACCGTGCACATCACTCCAACTGTTGGAACCCAAACAACCATTAAATCAACCGACCTCCAGCAGCAGCAAGCACCATTCGCGGCCCCTTATAATGGGTAGTAATATAGTCCACTAAATCCTTACGATTAATAGACCTGTAGATGGAGCAGGTAAAGAAATTTTAAAAGGAAATTTTAAGAAACACATTTTTATTATAGACCTGAAATCACACAGGATCATAAAGGTGTTCACAGTTAAACGCAGTGAGCAACAGAACATGAGAAGGACAAGCATTTCACTCCAACAGCACTTAAGAGACATCTGCAGCCCATCAACCGCCTGGTCCCAGTCCCAGCTCCTGGTCCCAGTCCCAGCTCCTGGTCTCAGTCCCAGCTCCTGGTCCCAGCTTCTCCATTTCTGAGCCAGCTTCCCGCCAACATGCATCCCGAGGGGGGAAGCAGGTGAGGCCTCAAGCTCCTGGGTCCCTGTCACTCACATGGAGACCAGAACGGGACCCAGGCTGCTGGCTTCAGCCTGGCCTATGTCTCTCTACATTTCCAGTAGTGTGAACATATTCTCATGAGAACAAGTGGGAACAGGATCTAGACCGCCCACACTGAAGAACTCCGGGGAGTGTTCGGCCTGGTGGCTAGCACACTGGGGTATCTGCCTCAAGTCCCAGCCTCCAGGTGCCAATTCCAGCAAATTGGAAGGCAGCAATAAAAGCTCAAAAAGGCACTCCCTGCCACCCCAGTGGAGACACGCACCGACTGCCCACCTTCTGCCTCTGTCCCGGCCCAGCCCTTGACATCACCAGTGTGTGTGAGTGGACCAGTCCATGCAGGAATGGCAGTGAGAGGCTCTCCCCTACATGGAGCTCAAGGGTGGCCAACAGTGTCATCTGGTTACCAGGGACCTACGTGACCTTCTGAAACATACTTGATGAATGTGCAATTTGTCACAACTCAGAATCTTTCCCTAAAGACTAAATGTGACCAATGGACCTACTTGATATTCTCAGTTGGTCCCAAAATGGTCCGTCCGAGCGCGGTGTTTTGATAAGCGGTGGCGTGCAGATAATCAAACACAACCTCCTGCAGGTTAGTCTCCACTTCCTGCATCTCTCTGAGGATGACTCCGCGCTCCCGCTCGATCTCCGCTTCCCCCAGCGTGCTGTTCTGGATGATATCAGCAAGGATCTCCACAGCTAGTCCAAGCGAAACAACAAACATGCAAAATCTTATCTCTATTAAAAACCTCTTAACCCAACACATCAGATTTTATGATTCAACCTGTCAACTGGATACAGGCTAAGTGATTCCTGTGAAGAGAAACTTTCTTTCATGTTCAGTGAACCCAAAAGAACAACCTTACAATGTAAGTTGAAACCCCATGGCACGGAGCAGACTGGGGAAGAATCCTCAGGGCCCCAGTACTCTCCAACCACTCCACCTACTGCAAAAGTGCTACATGTTGTGGCCAGCGTGGGGGCAGTTCAGCAGGCTAATCCTCCACTTTGCAGTGCCAGCATCCCATATGGGCACCAGTCTGTGTCCTGGCTGCTCCACTTCCCATCCACCTCTCTGCCTAGTCCCTGGGAAAGCAGCAGAGAACAGCCCATCCTTGCGACTCAACATCCAGGTGGAAGACCCAGAAGAAGCTCCAGGCCCCAGCTTCAGGCTGGCCCAGCTCTGGTTGTTGCAGCCACTGGGGAGTGAACCAGTGGACAGCAGGCCTTCTCTCCACCTCTCCTTCTCTGTAAAATCTGCCTTTCAAATCTACCTGTTCATTTAGATGTTGTGCAGGAACCTACAAAGTAGGAAGTTAACTCTGCTGGTCCAAAAACATCGCGGTGCGTGGAGGGTCCTGTTACAGGGACGAGCTGCTGGATGGAGTACAGAAGGAAGAGCAGCCAACACGTGCTCCCACAAACCACAGGCACGTCCTCTCCACTAGACTACGCAGGAGTAAAAACTGAGGTGCAGCACGGCTTGTCAGACTGCAAACCAGAACTCACATGATGAAAAATGACTTCTCTCCATTTGAAAGATTTACAGAGGAAGAGCCAACGAATGGCTGCCAAGCCCGAGCTGAGCTGATCCACGTGGGTGCTGGGGCCCACGCGCCGGGGCCATCTGCTGCTGCTCTTCCAGGCACGTTAACGGGGAGCTCGAACGGAAGTGGAGCAGACAGGACTCAAACCAATACTCACATCCTAAGCCCCTTTCAAGCAATTTTATCAGAAAAATCAACCCTTTCCAAAAGCATAAAAACCTAATTTACTGTTGTAATCACAACCTAGAATGCAAACTAAAATCTTAGGCCTCATTTTTTGTTTCTTGATTGTGAACTTTTATTCCTAATTTTAAAATTACTTAAGCAGCCTTATCTCAAAGTCAGTTATGTTCAAATGCCAAGGCCTTAACACAACTGTTCTGGGGCCTGGCGCAATAGCGTAGCACTTAAGGTCCTCACCTTGAACTCGCCAGGATCCCATATGGGCACTGGTTCTAATCCGGGTGGCCCTGCTTCCCAGCCAGCTCCCTGCCTGTGGCCTGGGAAAGCAGTCAAAGATTGCCCAAGACTTTGGGACCCTGCACCTGTGTGGGAGACCCGGAGGAAGCTCCTGGCTTCGGATTGGCTCAGCTCCAGCCATTATGGCTGCTTGGGGAGTAAGCTATCAGATGGAAGATCTTCCTCTCTGTCTCTCCTCTCTGTATGTCCGCCTTTCCAATAAAAATAAATAAATCTTTAAAAAAAAAATAAAGATTGTCTGAATGGGGATGGGCACAGTGGTATAGCGGTCAGGCCCTGGGTGGGGACACAAGCATCCCACGCTGACATGCTGTTCTGACTGCCACTCCAGCTGCAAGTTCATGAAATCCTGGTGACAGCTCAAGGGGCTGAGGCCCTGCCTCCTACGTGGGAGACCCGTGACACCAGTATCCCACTTAACTCGGGTCTGAGTCCGCTTCCAGATTCGCCCTTCACTCACGTGCCTGGGAACGCCCCGACATGGGCGACCAGGATAGAGATCCAGGCCTTGGCTTCGGCCTGACCAAGCACAACCATAGCAGCCACCTGGGAAGCGAACCACTGGACAGAGACCAACCTCTCCCTCTTCTGTCCTTCTGCCTTTCAAACAATTAATAAATATACACACACACACACAGATTATTGTTTTTTTCCAAAACATGCCCTGTATTAGAATAATTTGTATTCGTCTTAAGATCAAAGGGTAGCAGCTGACCTACTCACAGATGTAGGGGCATTGCATTGTGTGCATAGAGCAAATGAGCTGGAGGCAGAGGACCCGGTAGGGGCGTCACACTGTGTGCACAGAGCAAATGAGCTGGGGGCAGAGGACCCGGTAGGGGCGTCACACTGTGTGCACAGAGCAAATGAGCTGGGGGCAGAGGATCCTCGCTCTGCCCACAACAAGCTGTTCACCAGCCATGTAACTCAGGCAGCCTCAGAGCGCTGGCCTCACCTTCCACAACTGCACAGCAGCCACACTCCCCTGACGGCTGTGTAGACCCAACGGGCAACCATTACACCACGAGAGTTCCTGTATAAAGAGGGCCTTCAATGAAAGCCCGTCAGGAACCCAGCGTCTCAAGATCAAAGTTAACTGCAGCTGTGCGGGACTGTTGGCACCTACCGACTCCACGAGATGGTTCCATTTTGTCACCAGTTCTCCCACCTAGAAAAGGCTTGGGTCCCTGCACCCCCGTGCACTCCTAGAACCAGCCCCTGGCGCCTGGCTCCGGTCTGGCCCAGCCCTGTCCATGGTGGCCACGTGGCGAGTGGACACGCAGAGGATCTTTCTGTCTCTCCCTCTCTCTCTTACGCTTTCAAATCAATACAATAAATCTTAAAAAAACAAAATAAAATGAAAAACCCTCAAATCTAAGGCGGACACTGGGCACAACCGGACCGCTGCATCCCATATCAGTGTGCCCGGTTGGGGTCCTGGCTCTGTTTCCCAGCGACCTTCCTGCTAACACAGGCCCTGGGACAGCAGCTCGAGTGTGTGGCTTGCTGCCAGCCACGTGGGACACCCACGCGGAGTTTCTGACTGTTGGCTTCAGCCTACCCCAGCCTGGCTGTTGTAAGCATTTAACAACTGCATCAATGGGCACTATTGGTTTTTCTGTCTTACAAATAGGTAAGAAAATGGGTCCAGCAGCAGAGGATGGCAAAAGTCCTAGAGACTCATGGGAAACCAGGATGGAGGTGTGGCTGACTGGCTCTGACCTGGCCCGACCTTAGCTCTTGCCGCCACTCGGAGAATGAACTGGTAGACAGAAGCTCTCTCTGCCTTTCACAATTAATTCTAAAATATATAAAAAAATTTTAAAACTCAAACTACAAAAACAGTGCCTACAAAAAGCTCTACTGTTAAAATAATCATTTCAACAAAGTAAAAATAATTTCTATCTGATGATCAGTAAATATTTGCTTATTTCATGAAGGAACAACAGTGTTTGTTATAAACACGGAATAAAATTAACTTTTAAAGATTCAAACTTATATCTGAAGGGCAGATCTAAAGAGACAATGAGACACAAAGAACTTCTATCCGACGGTTCACTCCCGCAATGGCCTCAATGGCTGGAACTAAGCTGAACAGAAGGCAGGAGCCAGGCAGGAGCCAGGCAGGAGCTTCTTCCCAGTCTCCCTCGCGAGTGCAGGGTATCAAGGCCTTGTGCTGTTCTCTGCTACTTGCCAGGCCACAAGAAGGAAGCAGATGGCAAGTGAGGCAGCCGGGACACACACTGGCACCCATGTGGGATGCTCCCCGTTGAAGGCGGAGGATTTGCCTATCAAGCCCCAGCACCGGTCCCAGAATAAATGATCTAAAAATGTTTTCTGGGACCGGTGCTGTGGCATAACAAGTTAAACCATCGCCTGCACAGCCGGCATCCCATATGTGTGCTGGTTCCAGTCCCAGCTGCTCCACTTTTAATCCAGCTCCCTGCTTATGGCCTAGGAAAGCAGCAGAGGATGGCCTAAAGGTTTGCTCTTCTATACCCACGTGGGACTCCTGCAGAAAGCACTGGGCTCCTGGCTTCAGCTTGGCCCAGCCCCGATTACTGTATCCACTGGGGGGTAAACCAGCTGACGCCAGTTCTTTCTTCTCTAACTCTCCTTATCAACTAAATAAATATTAAAAAAAAAATTCCCACACATGTATGGTTGTGGAAAATGTAGCTGTGAATCAAGTATTATAGCCTGTTTATAGCAAACCTTTAAGCCTGTAAATGTATTAAGATGTATTCATTTGAAAGTCACAGTTAGCAAGAGATTGAGAGGAGAGGTGGCAGGAGGGGAGAAAAGGAGGCAGGGGAAGGGAGAGAACAGGAGGGCAGGGATGAGGGGAGGAGAGAAACGGAGGTGGGGTGAGGGAAAGAGAGATGCAGCTTCCATCCACTGGTTCACTCCCCAAATGCCTGCAACAGGCAGGGAGGGACCAGGCGGAAGCCAGGAGCCTGGAGCGTCTTCCAGGTCTCCCACGTCTCCCACGTGGGTGCGGCGGCCCCAGCACCTGGACCATCTCCTGCTGCTTTCCCAGGCCAGTAGCAATGAACTGGAATGGAAGTGGAGCAACTGACACTCAAAGTAGCACTCATACGGGATGCTGGCACAGCACGCTGTGACTCTACCTGCAATGCCACAGTGTCAACCCCAGAAGCCCCATCATTTGCCCTATGGGGAAGGGAGAAAGGGAAAAAAAAACAACAAAACACAAGCACAGCTGTCTTCCCTCTCATCCAGACACATCCCTGGAGGTTACAGACAGAATCAAACTGGTCTAATAACACAGTGACAGCTACGGCGTAAAGAAGGGCAATACCTCGCGGCAAGTCTTTGGAGAACGCTTTGGCATAATACACGGTCTGCTCCCGGGAGGTGTAGGCATTGAGGTGCGCCCCCATGTTCTCAATCTCGAGTTCCAGATCTAACTGGGACCTCTTTTTGGTGCCCTAGAAATCAACGCAGACAGACAAGTTAGGGCACCATCCTTCGCCCTTCACGCAGCCTAAACACTCCAGTCAATGCGGGGGCCATTTGGCAGGCTGGTCTCGGGAAGGACATAACCAGTTTCCGAGCTACGCCACGATTCAGAGATGCCATGCATCCAAATAACCCTTGTGCCTCAGGAGGAAATCTTAGATTCAACTTAAAATAAAAAAAAAAAAAAAAAGAAAGCAACAGCGGCCTCAGATCCTGTCCTGGAAAAACAAGCAGGAAGCACACCGTCCCCCCCTCCCCATGCAGTTCTCTGTCCCTGCCAAGGATGCCATCCTGTGGCTGCTGCCCCCCTTGCCATGTCATTCCTGCAACTTGCCTTGAAAGCCATGTGCTCCAGGAAGTGGGCGGTCCCGTTGTTCTTCTCATTTTCATATCGACTTCCGGCATCAATCCACAGCCCCACCTGCACGCCAACAACACACAGGAAGCAGACGATTCCATCATTTCCTTGGGGGAGGGAGGGAGTCTTCCTTTCCCTGAGCACCACGTCCAGGGACTAACACCGAGGCCTTCTCACCTTACACAACTGACAGTCCACACCCAAGATTTCAATATCTTGACCATCACCAGGCTACTAGCATCAACTGCCAAGTGCACTGAGGACCCAGGTTCCTGGCCTAAGTCGTGACTACAGCCAGTCGGCACTGGAGGCATAAACAAAACTGCACAGTCATTAGCCGAGTTCAAGTTATCAGCGGTGTGACCTTGGACTAACCCACTGAACTTGCGATCGGCTGCCTCAGCTCCAGCATGTATACTGAAAACTACAAAGACATGGGGGGGCAGCACCGTGGTATAACCTGCTAAGCCTCTGCATGCGGCAGTGGCGTGCCACTCAGGCGGTGGTTCAAGTCCCAGCTGCTCCACTTCAGGTCCCGCTCCCTGCTAATTAATTGCCTGAGAGGGGAGCAGAGACCTGTGGGAGACCCGGAAGAATCTCCAGCCTAGCTCCGGCCGTTGTGGCCATTTGCAGGGTGAGGGGATGCCTCTATCTAACAAGAATTAACACCGTTACCAGGCAACAAGGCAGCATGTGGGGCGTTTCAAGGAAGCTTGTTGAGGCTAACAACGATCCCTCAGCCACCCAAGGAGCTTCAAGCTTCCACTCAACCAAGTGACCCCCCTTCTCAAGGAGCCACTCACCGTGCACGTGGACAGCCCCGAGTCCTCGGACGCCACTCGCAGCCCATTCTCCAGACGGGTCACCCGAGTTTCAGGGACATTCAGAACCACTTGGGTGGCAGCCTGGGTGCTTCTCCACCTGCTCCCTCCAAAATGCAATGGCTGATGGGAACAGGGCAAGATACACGTTACTCTAGTCTGTTCACAGATGTCCTACAGGCAGGCATGCGTTAGAAGGCCTGGGTTCAATTCCTGCCTCCCATTTCCTGGTGGCTAAAACCACAGGCTCTGGGACACTGAGGTCCTGGGCCCGGTCCCGTGGTGTAGCAAGTTAATCCTCAACCTGTGGTGCCAGCATCCCACACGGGCAGCAGTTGGTGGCCCAGCGATCTGCTTCCCATCCAGCTCCCTGCTTGTGGCCTGGAAAAGCAGCAGAGGACGGCCCAAGTCCTCAGGGCCCTGCACCCATGTGGGAGACCCGGAAGGCGCTCCTGGCTCCTGGCTTCAGATCAGCTCAGCTCTGATCATTTGTGGATGAACCTACTGGATGGAAGACTTCACTCTGTCTCTCCTTCTCTATAAAAATCTATCTTTCAACCCAAACAAATAAATCTTTTAAAAAGTAACAGAAAAGAAACCTGTTCTTTCTTTTTCTGGAAAAAAAAAAAAAACAAAGCTGGAAGCAGAGGCAAAAAGACAGAAACATATCCACACACGAGTGGGGGTGGGGGTTCAGGTTCTCAGGTTCAAAAAAAGCAGCAAAATCGGAAAGAGATCGGAAGACAGCGGGAATTCATCATTCCCTCTCCAGCTCAAGCGCTGGCTGCTGAGGGTCTAGCAGCCCTCCTCTGATGCCAGCAATTCTTTTTTTCTCATCAACAGGAGAGGCAGGAGGCACTGAGACAAAAATCTTCCATCATCCGGTTCACGCCCCAAGCGGCCTCAAGGAGCCACAGCTGCGCCGATCTGAAGCCAAGAGCCAGGAACTTTTTCTGGCTCTCCCACACAGGTGCAGGGTCTCCCACAGGGGTGCAGGGTCTCCCACGCGGGTGCAGGGTCCCCAGGCTTTGGGCCGTCCTCGACTTTTTCCAGGCCACAAGCAGGGAGCTGGATGAGAACTGGGGCCACCGGGATTAGAACCGGCGTCCATAGGGGATCCCAGCGCTTGCAAGGGGGAAAAGTTAGCCTATGGAGCCACTGCACTGGCCTAAGGGCTGAGTGCTTTTTCTAAGTTACGCACGGGCCGAGGTCTCACACTCCTTTGTAGAGGAGTGAGGGGTAAAGGGGGCCAGCACAGGTCGAGACTGTTTGCTCGAGGCTCTTGGGTTCCCCCTCATAAAAAAATCAAAACATAAAACGAGAGACCGTGAAGCGCTCCGCGCCGGCAAGCCCTTCCCTTGCGGATTTCCAGCCCCTGGACCATCTCCTGGGAGCTGCGAACTTGACACGGACGGCGACAAGGACCGAGGGGCAGGGTCGGCCCCGCACGTCACCCCAAATCCCGAGGAGGACGGCCCGGGGGCACCCCACCTTCCCGCCGCCCGCGCCAGCACGCCCGGCCCGACCCGCGGCTGGCTGGGCGCCCCCAGCCCTAGGGGAAGAGGCGCTCACCCGCCCCGCGGCACCCCGCACCAAGAGCTTGTCACCGAACCCCCAAAGTCGCCGCCGCGCCGCGGGCACCAGCACCGCTCGGGCCGCCGCCGCCGCCATGTCGGCTACGAGCGAGGCGGAGGATGTGCTTCCGGGGTCGTGACCTGCAGTCGTCAGGGAAGGTCTCCCCCTAGTGGCCGAGTTGGGAATCTGCGATTGAGGAGAGCTCTAGGGAAAGCCCCTTTGGGACGTCTGTTCGAATCCCGGCTGCTTCACTTCCACCTGGGAAGGTAGTGGGAGAAGATTCAAGTCCTCGGGTCTTTGCGGAGTATCCAGCACCTGAATGCAGGCACTGTCATACGTATGGGACACATCTGTATCTTCTCACAAGATGGATGCTTCAACAGCCCTTATAGCTCCCTCCACCTTCAATCTCCCATTCTAGTTTTGGCTCTCCCATTATCTTGTCCCTAACTTTCTTCTGGGACATTCAATACTAAATAGCCAACGGCACATCCTTCCATCCACCTCAGTTCCTCACGTTTCCCACTTCTCACACCTGCTTGACGCACTCACACCCTTTTCCTGGCTCTCCAACCTGTCCCAGCCCCATGAGTCCTCATGTTCCTACCTAAGGGATCTTCTTAGAGTATGACTTTTTTTTTTAAAGATATGTTTATCTTTATTGGAAAGACAGCTATATATATTTTTAAACAAAGAGAAGCAGAGACAGAGAGAATGATCGTCCATCCACTGGTTCACTCTACACGTGACCACGAAGACCAGAGCTGAGCCGATCTGAAGCCAGGAGCTCCTTGCAGGTCTTGCCTGCAGGTGCAGAGTCCCAAGGTTTTGGGTCATCCTCTACTGCTCTCCCAGGACATACAGAGAGAAATGTATAGGAAGTGAAGCAGCCGGGACACAAACCAGTGCCCGTATGGGAGTTGCTGTTACTGGCAAGCAGAGGATTAGCCCACCGAGCCATCACACCTGCTGCAGGATATGACTCTTGGCAGGAAAGCCGTGTGCTAAAAATCCTCCAGGAGTTGCCCGTGGTCAGCCCTGGCAGGCAGAGCCCAGCAGGACGGCCCCATTTACTTTCTAGACTCATCTCTGCTCCCCTGTCCCCTTGGCTGCAGCTCAGAGGCTCCACACACAAGATCCCCTGCGTAGCCAAGGACAACAAGGACACTCCCTCATGTTTCTAGCACAGGAGTGTGTGTTTGAACCACATACACAGCTACCAAAAAGATTAGGCATTCTCACAAGAGGCAGCTGCTAAGGTTTAACAAGAATCTGTGTACCACTTTCGTACAATCCGTTTGTTCATTTGCTAGGTGTTGCTGCCAGTCAGTGTCTTAGAGCATCACACCCACAGGAAGTAAGTGCGTAGAATGAAACAAGCATACACGTGTTTGCTGCAAAACTCACCCTCTGTCTTCACACGATCGCGTAGGCCCAGAGGATGGGCACCAAATCCTAGCTCGGGCAGGCGAGGACACAGGCAGGGTGATTTTCACAGCAGTCAAGTGCTTCCCATGTGGAAGGCAGGACCCACCACCAGCTGCCTCCCTGTGCCTGCATTAACAGGAAACCTGGGCCGGGACTCAGCCAGAACTTGGTCCCAAACACTCCGACATGGAACAAAGGCATCCCGTACAAATTCTTAACTATATCCCCAAGTCCCGCCCCTGCATATACTATCATTTCATTTCTTTTCTTTTTTAAGATTTGTTTGTTTGTTTTTGGAAAGGCAGATTTACAGAAAGAGGATACAGAGAAAGATCCTCCATCCACTGCTTCTGTTCACACTCCCCAAGTGGCTACAACTGCTGGAGCTGAGCCGACAACAAAGCCAGGAGCCAGGAGCTTCTTCAGGGTATCCACCATGAGTGCAGGGTCCTAAGACTTTGGGCCATCCTCCACTGCTTTCCCAGGCCACAAGCAGGGAGCTGGATGGGAAATGGAGCAGCCGGGACACGAACCAGTGCCCATCTGAGATCCCAGCATATGCAAAATGAGGATTTAGCTGCTAGGCTACCACGCTGGGCACACGTTCCTTTTCAAGACACAAAGTTATAGACTGGATGTGAGAAGGGTGAGGATGGGGGGGAAGACAAGGGGCATGTATATGTGGCCAGCATTGTGGTCCAGAGCATCCTTGCCAAAAGTCGAACCCTATCCTAAACCTTACGCAAAAATTGACTTGAAAGGGATCATGTACTTAAATATACACTATAACTTTAAAACACTTTAAATGCCTGAGAAATTCTTTTAGCCCTGATGTTGAATAACTTAATTATGATATGGTACCTAAATGTTGAGTAACCTTTGTGTCAAGTGATTCTTATTGGAATTCCCAGAGTCACCGACTCACACACACACACACACACACACACACACACATACACAGGAAAATGCTGGAACAATACAGGTGTAACCAAAGAGATATTAGATATGACCCCAAAATTTTAACTCATTAAAAAAAAAAAAACGTGGGGCGTGGCGAAGTGACGTATCAGACTGCTACTCTGCTTATGGCAGCAGCACAGCATATGGACACCGGTTCAAGTCCTGGCTGCTCTACTTCCAACCCAGCTCCCTGCTTGTGGCCTGGGAAGCAGCCGAGGAAGGCTCAGGTGTTGGGACCCTGCACCACAGGGACATGTGGAAGAAGCTCACAGCTCTCAGCTTCAGATCGGCTTCGCTCTGGCCGTGGAGGCCATTTGGTGAGGGAGCCAGCGGATGGAAAATCTTCTGTCGCTTGTCTCTGTAAATGTGCCTTTCCAATTAAAAAAAAATGAAATAAATTAAAAAAAAAAACGTGCTGCATTGGATCTCAAAAAGTTTAAAACTTTTTCACTGTGACTTTAGAAAGTCTGTGACTGGCATAACTATTGGTAGCATGGTGATGTAAGACATTCATATTAGGGCAGTGTGGCTGCAACGTGTGTGTGAAATGACTATTTTAGTTCTCACAATTGTAGGTGAACCCATCATTGTTTTAGAATAAAATGCTGAGTTAAAAAAACAAAAAGAATTTCAAAAATAAAATAGTTTGTATGATGGGAGGGGAACAGTGGGGGGTGGGGAGGACTCTATTTTGTATCCATAAATTATTATGTAATCCTGGTCACAAAATCAGATACTCACATTATACACGCACGCACGCACACACACTCACGCAAGTCCAAGGGTTCGCTATACACACCGAAATAGATAGAGAATTTCATAATGGTTCATCTAGCCATCACTAATAAGATAATCAAGGGATCTGCAAGTGAATTGGAGCAAGAAATCTTAGGCTGTTTCACAAAGCTTGCTGTTGTGCCCTTTTCTAAACAGCTCCCTAGAGACAAGGGCACGACTCGTGTGCTATGAGATGTGTAATGTGGCAGTTCGGGCTGCTCCCTGCATCCACAGGGTACGGTGCTGGCCGTCTTTGTTCACAGTGCAGACTCACATCAGCGCTTGCATTTTATCCCTTTGTGTCTCTGGCCTCTTCCATTGCGCTGGTATTGGGTGGGCTGATTGGATGGTCACCATGGGAACAGAGGCCACAGTCAGGCACCGGGGAATGTGGCCCTGGGCCTCCGCAGGGCTATTGTCCAAGTCCATCGTGTGGATGCTTCTGCAGGTCGGTGGCCCTGTGTGTCCCCACGCTTCTATACCAGCTGATTAACAAACAAACAAAAACATGCAGGTCACTTTGTATAAACCCCTTTCCCATCATTCAAGCGTCTGTCTTGTGCCTTTGAATGAAGAATCAACTCTAATCAGACACAGCTGTAGAAAATTCGTTTCTGAGAAAAGTCTACCCTGCCCCACACAAGCCACCGTGTCTCTCACAGAAAAAGAAAGCCTGGCACCCATCGTGATGGTGACGTCTGATTTCCTGTCGTGCCCACCTTCACTCCCCCATCCCCGGACCACGGGACCCCCCACACCCTGCAGATCTTCCTGTGCCCACTGCTGTTTCTGGGTTACTTACATCATGCCAACCCTGCTTCTTGCATTCACTGCCGTTCATCCTCGTCCCAGATGTGTCCTGAGACCTTTCTGTCTGGATGCTGTGAAGCCATCAAGGCAGATGTTCTTATTTGGATGTTTTCAACAAGTTTGCCTGGTGAAGTGGGCACACGGAATGGGTCAGAACTTAACATGGGGGGTTCAGGCATGGTAGCCTAGTGGCTATAGTCCTCACCTTGCATATGCTGGGCTTCCATATGAGGGCCGGCTCGTGTCCCAGATGCTCCATTTCCCATCCAGCTCCCTGCTTGTGGCCTAGGAAAGCAATCGAGGACAGTCCAAAGTCTTGAGGACACTGCACTTGCATGGGAAACCCAGAAGAAGCTCCTGGCTCCTGGCTTCAGATCAGCTCAGCTCCTGCCGTTGCAGCCCTGCAGATGCAAGGCAGAGGATTTGGCCACTGAGCTATCTCCTGGGCCCCATAAAGGAAAGCTTAAATGCTTTTTATTTGGAGTAGCATTGACATAGCAATAGTATGGCCATTGTTATTTTACACAAATACATTCCCTTTTGGCTGATTAGAGATACTATTTATTTGCAAGGCAGAATGACAAAGAGGAAGAAGAAGGAAAGAAGGGGAGAGAGCAAGAGAGAAATTCCATCCCTGGGATCCCTCCCCAGATGCCCACAAGAGCCCAGCTGGACTTCATGGTTCCACATGACTTCATGGTTCCAAGCACCTGAGGCATCTTCCCCTGCGCTCTCAGGCGTATTTGCAGGAAGCTGGATTGGAAGTGATGTAGCCAGGACTCCACGTGATGTTCTGATAGAACGTGACGACTTTCAAAGCACTGGCTTAACTTGTTCCACCACAATGCCAGCCCCTGGATGCTGATTTTCATCTCTTTTTTTTACACACCAGTGCACTTTTCTACATTTCTAGAGCAAATGTGCATTATTTTGTCGTATGAAATATTCTTCTTACCTATCTTTTTCCAGACTAGATTATTGCCACTAGGCATGCGGAAGAGTTAGAAAAACAAAAGCAAGTGGTACTTAAACTGCTCCCAGGTGACAGCCCAGCAGCTTGCTGGGTTTGAGCTGGATGTTGCACCAGGTCTACCTGCTTCTTATTACTTTTTAGTTTCCAG